TGCGAAAACGCAGATGACTCGAATCTGCCTTGTACCAAAAGGGGGATTAGTAGAAGATAGATTTATCATCTGCAGAAGAGTAGAGATAGAAATAGTGACGACGATACCCTTTGGTTAATGAAGCTTTTGTCCTATGTGACACTTTCGATGGTGGTGAGCTGAGGTTGAGGAGGCCGGGTCAAGGAATAAGCAGGGTTGAGGCGGCCAGCACGAAACTCGATCTTCAGCTCCGGTACGTACTGTTCTAGGTACTCCATCCATTGGGCCTGCCTCGGGGTGAGATGAGGCTGTGTATTCAGGTTTCACAGGGTGCAGTGATCGTCTAAGACAGTGACGTGCAGCATGTGAACATAGCAGCGCCACTTCTTGACCGCATGGATGATGGCCAGCGCCTCGCGATCGTGAGTAGCATAGTTGAACTCGGCAGGATAGAGTTCTCTGCACTTGAAGGTGATAGGCTGAAGGCCATGCCCTTCATCTTACTAAAGGATTGCACCTATTGCAACCTGTGACGAGTCTGTCCATATCACGTAGGGGTAGGGAGGGGTTTGGTAGGGCTAGAGTAAGAGAAGAGGTTAGTGCAGAATTGAAAGCATAATAGGCAGTGGTTAGAGTCCCAATTGAATGGTTCACTCAAGAAGGTTGGATAAGGGAGAGGTGATGGTAGCGGAGTGTTGAATGAACTGGGGGTAGTAGTTGGCAAGACCAAGGAAGGCTTGCACTTCCTTAATAGAGGTTGGCTCCTTCCATTTCCTAATGGCTTTGACTTTGGAAACGTCCATAGCAAGCTAGTTGAGTGAGATGATGTGGCCGAAGAAAGGAATCGAGGGCTTGACAAACTCACACTTGCTCTGTTTGGCGAAGCCGTGTGAAGACTAGCATTAGATGCTCGGCGTGTTCCTTCAAGGATTTGCTATAAATCAGAATGTTATTGATGGATATTATGACAAACCGACACAAGAAATCCCAACAGACACTATGCATCAAGGACATGAATGTGGCTGCGGCATTCGTTAGTCCGAAAAGAAGCACGAAAAAACTCAAAATGCCCATACCGTGTTCAAAAGGCGGTTTTCTCGATGTCTTTGTCAGCGTTACGCACTTGATAACCATTTCGTAGGTCTAGCTTGCTGAAAATTGTAGCCTCACCAAGTTGATCAAAGAGTTCTTCAACTCGAGGTGTTGGGTAGTGGTTCTTGATGGTGATTTTGTTGAGCGCGCGGTAGTTAACTCATATGCGCATGCTGCCATCCTTCTTTTTGACGAAGAGAATTGGTGCTGCATAGGGAGAGGAGCTGACGCGAATGAAGCCCTTCTCAAGAAGTTCCTCCAAATGCTTTTGGACTTCATTCAGCTCGGCAGCACTCATCTGGTACGTAGCGCGAACGGTAGGTTCAGCACCGGGTTGCAAGATGATGCGGTGATTGATGACACGCTTCGGGGGAAGTGAAGAGGGGAGATCAGCAAGGAAGATGTCTTTGAACTCATATAAAAACCTGTTGAGTTCTAGAAGGGAATTCAACAGTCTTGGGAGGAAAAGGGAGAAGGGATTCGAGAAAGGATTTCAGAAGGGATTTCAGCAACTCTCACCTACCGTTTGAAACTTCTGCCACACGTCAACATCCACCTTGTTTTTCACTTCACCTGCTACGTCCTTACCACATTCCTCCAGGCCATTTCCGCCTCTTACCTCTGCTCGTCCTCCTATGTTTACATCAAACCCTGATCTCTTTGAAGTTGAGAAAATCCTCTCCAACGAAACTTCTCCTTGCGGAACTTACTTTCTTGTTAAGTGCCGTGGACAAGACTTCAGTAATCCACCATGTGCTTCAGCTTGGCTTCCCAGTTGCAGGAAATAGACTGCGGGGCCTTCACCACCAAATCCACCACCAATTGATGAGCCCTGCATCTCTTGTTGCCTTGTGCTCCAGACTCATTCTCCTCTTCCGAACAGTCACCTCTCCCCAACCTTAGCAGCCCACTTCCCTCTTTTCCACTACTCTCCAATGCCTCTTCCACTTTTTGCACAAGCCTTCTAAAACTAACTCTCATGTTATCAGCACTAGATGACAGTCCCAGAGGATATTGTGCCACCACCCGCGCAGCATTCTCTCGACCAATTAAATCAACCAATACCGCCAGCTTGCCTTGCAGATTCTTCGTCGATAGTTTTAGTACCACCGAATGACTCCACGCCACTCTTCCTGCTGCATGCTTCCCCACCAGCTCCACAAAGAACTGGAGCTTAGCTAGAAGAGTCTCTTTGCTATAAGCGACGAGGTTGGGGGCACGGCGAAGCATAGAGCTCGCAATGGAGGGGGGGAAGGACTGGAGGAAGGCGATATTTTCTGCGATGCGATAGGGAGGAATAGATGGGATGGTTGGATACTGCAGGATAAGTCTGCTTCGGAGATGCGCCTCATCTAGACGCTGCTTCACGGGGCTTGTGCTGGTGCTATCTGCTTCTACCTCCCCCCCAGATCCCACCTTGAAATAGGCTGATAATGTCTCGAGTTGAGAAATTATGGCCTCATTTCTCCGAGCCAAGATAAATGGACATTTCTCTATAATCCCACCCAGCTTTTCCACAGGAATTCCTCCATTCTCCACCAGAATGTCCAGGTTCGTTGAACGTGCCTCCTTGCTGAGTAAGTCCAATCCACGTCGCAGCATCAAGCCCAATCTGCTGCGGTGGACGCCTTGAGCCAAAAGAAACTCAAGCTTGATGTTGATCCATAGCAATGGGGATCGGAGCCAGGCAGATTCTTTCACAGTTATGTGGGCGATGTCGGCGTGAGATATGCCAAATGATTGGAAGAGACGGACACGTGGCAGGAAGTCGTTGGTGGGATTGGAGCGGAGGAGTTGGGCGTAAGAGGCAAGAAGGGAAGCGACGGTGGAAGGGGAGGAGATGCCGAGGTGGGAGGAGAAGAAGCGGTAGAGGGAAAGGAGGGAGGAGAGTGTGGTTGCACGTTTTTGGTGAGATGTGGTGCCCGGTGAACCTTCCTCACTCGCTTCAGCTTCTACTTCCTCTTTTTTTGCTCCTGGGTCTATTCCATCCTTCTCCTCCGCCGCCGCTTCTTCTTCTCCCTCCTCCTCCTCCTCAACCCCCTCATTCCCTCCGTTCCCAAGCCCTTCCTCCTCCTCCTCTCTCACAACCTGAGGTTAGTATCTCTTCATTTGAGCAATTACTGCCACAGCCTGCTCCTCTTCCTTGGATCCTTCCCCGTCTCTGCTATTACTCTCCCTTCCGTTGCTTCTTGCTTCCGTTTTGCCACTCCTCCCACGCCTCTTACCCCCAACTTCCTTTGTTCCCCCCATGTATTTTACGCTTCTCTCCCCTTCTCTATCAGCTCCCACCTCATCCTCCCCCACACCAAGCTCCTCAAACTCCGTCTCAACGGTCGAATTTATATGGGCCGTCGGCTGTATTCTAGGGTTTGCTACTGCCGCCTCCGGAGAGTCCGATGGCATGGAAGCGTTTTCTGCACTGCACTTGATCGCAGCGCTCTGGTCAGAGGTTCGAACCCTGACAAAGGCTTTCCGTATGGAGTGGTTCATTGTGACGAATCCGAGCTGGTACGGGCTCGACCATGACGGAAAAGCAGATCTGACTAGATTCACGTGGTTCTTATAAAGAGATATAGAGGGACGAAGACAGGTCTGCGTGCAGTCTAAGCTACTGATCAACGTGACTGACGGGAATGATGAACTACACACGCCATGGCGAGAAGCTGTGGAACCGAACTTACGATCACTGTCAATAACTCGCGGCTATCACATCCATCGTATCCAAATGGACTCAATGAAACGATCTGCGACGATTTCCAGACTCATCACTCAGGGCTCTAGCTGTGAAGGAAGTCGAACCCTGTCACATCGTGTAGAAATAGTCACATCGCAAAGTCTCAGTGTTATTACCGTTGAATTGGGCGTCAGCCGTGTTGCCACACTCACGGAATTCGAAGCTGGATTTTTTATTCGCGGTTTTGGTAACACGGTATTACATTGAGAGAAATGCAAACTGCGTTTATACTTAACACTAGACGCAAAAACCGAAGTGCTCAGACACTAGACACATTCCTTTGAACCAACGACGAATCGTGTGTGTCCTTCGTGGATCAACTCGACATCTCATTTGACACGAGGTCGCCCAACCTCCCCAACATTCGACGTTCCACCTTCACATGCCTTCCCTACCCATTTCTTCGAAGGCGAGTGTGCAACAAGCATCGAGTCGCGCGATTTATAAACCGATGTCCTGAGATGAGTCCACATAGCCTTAGGGTTTCAATTTATTTCACAAATCTAAATTCACACCGCCGCAATGTCGCCACGACCGACATTTCAGTGGATTATGAACCTATTGCGTGCGACGCAGTCGTTGCGATGTTAGCACAAGGCGAGGAGCGTGAAGGCGGCGAGCGTGATGGCGAAGCGTGATGGCGAGGAGCGTGATGGCGAGGAGCGTGATGGCGAAGCCTTTCCTTCGTGCCATTGTTTTCCGGTGCGTCCACGAATCCATAGCTGCCTCCATCGCGGATTTGGCAGCCCCCCAAATTTGGCTCTCGTGGGTTTATCTACAAAAAAACCTATAGAAAGTCCCAACACACCCCCAAAACATCCCGCCAATTTCGTGACCTTTCAGTCACCGCCTCAAAGCCCCGCATTGGCACCGCGTCGCCTCTCTCGAGCCGCACATTACAATTTCACAACGAGTCGCATGTCCATTTTCAGCGGCCCGAACAAATCAACACGTGCGTCCCTCATACAACCAACCCGCATACAATCTGCATCCACTGATGTTCGCTACACTACGCAGTTAGGAACACGAAAGATGTAGCATAAGAGGCCATCAAAGCTCACGCATGTCCCACAACACACTGCATTGGCCGTCCTAATTGCTGAAACATGTGGTCCTACCACCAAGAACAACATGACACATCCTCTACAAATTAATTCACACGTCTGCAAGCGCGTCCTCAAAACATAAGCTGCGCCTACTCACACAGAAGAAACTTGTTGAGCAGCATGACCTTCTTGTTCACATAAGACTTGCACACACGCACCACCCGCTTGATGCACTCCACGTCCACCACTGAGTAGCGAGTGGAGACCCTCCCCGGGGTTAGCTGCACGCAGGTGGTCATGGGGCAAACTCCCGCCGCCTCATAGTACTTAACATATGCGTACCTACCCTCCATCCCCTCTGCATCCGTTGCACGGAACACGCACAGGCATCGTGCGTACCACTCCTCCTTGTCCATCTTCGCCCTGACAGCGACGTCCGAAAACCACATCTCGGATGGGCTGGCCTTCACAAACGTGCCATTGGCCACAAGCTCCCCGCCACGCGTACGCGGAATGGCCACCGCAGTGTGTACCTGTACATACGGCGTACAAAGGGAACTCAGCGCATGCCAACACAAAACAAACAGTGAACGCCCCCCCGCCCTGTCATTTATGAACACACCTCACTGTCCGCGCAGGGTCCAGAGGAATACAATGGTGCTCACCTTGATGGCGGTGCCCGTCATACCAGCGGCTGCCAGGCACCTGCCCAGCTCCTTCATGTCTGAGCCTAATGCCTCCTTGTACGCCCACAGCACTGCGTCCTCTCCGTCGCTTACGTCCGCCGTCCTCGACTTCCTCGTCAGGACGTACGTTTGAAGCCTCACCGCCTGAAACAGAGGACATCCGCGATATGCACGCAATACACAGCCTTAGAGAACCCACTGTGTTCCACAACGCACCATTTGAGACGCATGTTGATTATAACACCACCACACTGTCATCTGTCCTCGGTGTGCACGGCTACCCCTGCATACATCCACACGTGGTCCATACCTCCCACCATGACCGTCATAGTCCGTCATCCACTCCGCGTCCCACATTCCTACGAGTCAGCCGTCTAAGCCATCTCACCTCACGCAGCGCACTGACGTACTGCCTTCCTCCCCTCGCCAAGGCCGCCACCTCCCGTGTGATCTCTCTCTGCACCTCCTCCTCCACGATTCGTCGGGGATTGTCCTTCCAGTTACTCCCGCGCACGGGCACCTTCACGGTGCCCTTGTGAGTGTGCTCCCACAGGTTCGTTGAGTACTCAAACGGCATCCCCCGGAGCATGATGCCGTCAATGAGATGAATTATCTGGTGCACCTTCGGTAAGTTCCACGCCGACGCTTGCGATCGAAAAGCGTCCTGCACTACGTCCACCATCCTGTGACACGACATCCATGCCTCACATGATTAGTGTGCTCGTGTACATGCAACCAACCAGGCCGTATTTCCTCGGTGCCACAACCACACCCATGCTTAAGAACGTAGGCACCATTGAATCCACATCACCCTCCACACACCACAGCCGCCTCCCACCCATCTGCACACCACACATGACCCCACTCACATGTACGCGTTCTGCTGCACGTCACTGAGTGTCCTCTCCGTGTGCTTGTTCACGCCGAGCAGCGACTTGTAGAACACCGCGTACCTCTGGAACGCCCTCACCTCATTGAAACGCTGCTCCTTCTCCTCGGGCTTGCACCCTTCCATGTTGTCCGCGATGAGTATCGGCATCACTTGCATCATGCCCTTGTTCTCGAACACCGCGTAGTTTGCCCGTGACTTGAACCAAGAAGTTCCACCCGGGATCCGGCCAACCGTGGAGCGAGTGTCCTTCTTCTGCTCCTTCTTGCGCCTGCACACGGACGACAGAAAAGCATTTGAATCAGGAAGAAAATACCAACGCGCCCGCAGCCGACGTAGACCCGGGACACCCACCTCTCCAGCTCCCTCCTTTCCGGGTTGCTGAGGGGAGAGATGAACTCGTCCACCATGTGTCCAAGGAACCCTCCGTCCAGCACATGCAGCACATCCGCCACGCAAGCGAGAAATACGTTTCCCCATGTCGTCTCTGAAAAATTCCACCTCTCCAGTACCGTCTGTCACCAACCCAACACCACAACGCACCCTGACCATTAACTAGTACATACTCTACGGAATGACGACATACATCTTCTTCGGCAGCGGACCGTGCTGACCTGCACGGGGTGTGTCGACCATCGCCTTCGGGTCTTGTCAGCATCGTCCTTCTTGGAAGCGTTCTGCAGTTTCACGGTCCTCACAGTCGTCTCTGTCCTTAGGTCGGCCAGACTGGTCTTCTTGATGTAGCAGGAGCTGCACGGCTGGTGTGAACCCTGCTGCATTGTCGCCGTGCACCTGGACGACTCGGGGTAGTCTCCCACCTCAACAAACAAGCATGGGATACCCTTCACCACTTGTCAGGATGCATCGGTCACGTGTATGACCTTCAGCTCTGAACTGCATCAACGAAAGCACGCCGCAACATCATTGCAACACTATCCACGCCGAGACGACATAACCCACCAAAATGCCGCAACCTACTCACCCTCGGTGCTCCCGCAAGAGAGGCTCGAATATAATAGCCATCGCCTCCTGAAACACACGGGTCTTCTCGGTGGACGTGGCCCAGTCCGGTGGGAAAGGCAGCAAGCCCGCCATGACGTGGCCTGGCTCTAACCATCTCAGTGCCTCACGGATGTTCATCAGACTTATCAGGACTGGCCACGCTTGTAGCCTCCCGTTGGCACTCGCGTGAGTACTGTCACTGTACACGATCACACCCAGAATGATCCCCTCCTGCCCCGGGCGGCTAGCATGAGCCTGTTCCAGCCATACTCCAGTGTCGGGGGAGCTGACATGCCTCTTTTCCTCAGTGTCCTCCTTGTCCCTCCGCGGCTCCGTCACAAATCCCTCTGAGTGTACGAACGTGTGCACCAGCTTCTGCACCAACTGCAATGCACATTAATCGACAAAACTTCCGTCAACCATAAAGTGTGTCGCCACCGCAATTGACGGCCAAGTACTAGCACACCACATGTCACAAGCCTCAGACTCACCATCTCCGTGTTCCTGAAATGTAGCGGAAGGCTTGCCATTTTCCCACCGGGACCATAGCATTTGATTACGGTCTTCTGCCAGGGCACAAGATCGGGCGGAGCCATCATCTTCCCGAACCTCCTCACGTCGACAAAGTTCATCCGACGTCGGACATCTCGCACAGAGGATCGGGGGTTCGCGAATATGTTGAGCAACCTGTTAACCTCCCATCTCGACAGGTCAGCGTCACGGAAAAAAATGTATAGCTCGGTTAGAGTGTCGAAACCGTCGTCAATACTACTTATGTCACTCTCCGCATCGTCGTTCTGCGAAATCGCGTCCGCGAGTGGATCTTCTGTTGCCGGATGCTGGCGTGCGAGTCCGTCTGCCTCTACGGCGGCGTCAGAATGACGGGACCTGGCAGGTGAAGGAGGGCGTTCGCCTCGCATGGCTCGTACTGCCTCTCTATACGCCTCTACGAGCCGCTCCGCCCTAGCGTGGTTGATCTTACGTCTGCATCGTGTGTTGCCCGCCAAGTGAGACTGCAGAGTATTATCATCCACGTGCACGGCCCCACACGCCTCGCATGCGTTGCCCAACATAGCTCCACAGGGTACTAACAAACCCTAATTCTACGCGTGACTTAACACACTGATTCTGTCAAAGATGTGCAACGTGTATTGGTGCGTCCTGACCCAGAGGCGGGACAACCACTGTACGGTTCCTCGGAGGTGTACGCGTGTCTGTCTGTGTCTAAGCAGTTTGTCTGAACAGTTTGGTCATCCCCCGGTTGTAAGTGGTTGGACATGTGACGCCCTCTTATGCGTCTTCGGTGTACAAGCCTGTTACGTACGGGCTGCACACTGAACCATTTCGGTACAATCATAATATGGTCTCGCTAAGAGTCTAGCTCTTTCCACCTTATTAACAATGATTTCCGTTATGAGTGCAAAACATTTAGTACATAGCTACTTTGATACATTATCACGTCTTGCTGACATACCTGGTTATACAACTTTCCAATATTACAACTATCACGCATCCAGCGCAGCCATCCATGGATTTGGCACCACACTACATACATGGTCCCATGACCGCCTACATCTTAGAATTGTGGCACAATGTTAGCCCATCTTCCTCAATTGGCTCACCTAATCTCTGTGCCCACCCAGACATCGTACTAAACCATCGTTCCATGGTACAAAACAATAAAGGAGAGGCACGCAAATTGGCGAGGTGAGACTGAACTGGTCACTGCTGCAAAGGATTTCTAATCGTAGCGTTGCAAGACACGTGCTTGGGTTGTGCTGGACAGAAATTATGCGTCATCAAGAATGGGCTGGTAATCGTGGCAATCTCATCTCCTCATCCATCACAATCGTATCCACTGTACTGACTGGTGGAATACAGAGTACATGGTAGCTCAGTGTAATAAGGCACTGATGTATAAAAAAACTTATCTGCACTGATACATACTGAGCTTAAAAAGACTCAATTTCAACTAAAGATTTTTACCTCCCAAAATAAAACCCTCGCCCAGATTGTTAATTTGGGGCGAGTTCATTGCTATCTCCACTGGTGTAAAATATCAGGTTGTGACTAATACCGAGTGGAACTTGTAAAAGGTGAGAATTCACTGCACCCCAAGTGGCCAATCAACACGATCATGCCATCGAATAGCGCGGCCAATCAGTGTCAACGGGAGTTGTGTGTTGGCCCCGTCCTCGCTTGGGCGGAGCCGACTTCATGGTCGGATGAAGGGGTACAGCCGACCTGTAGCCGTGGGCTAGCTGATCGACGAGGTTGGTCGACCTGTACGTGAGCCACTGCCAGGGCGCCGACTTCGGGAAGGCGCCAACTTCAGGGAGGTCGACCTGGGAAGTCGACCTGCGGAGGGCGTCGACCTGGTGACGCCAACGTAAGGCAGCCGACTTGGGTGGTCGACCAGACCTTCTGGTCGACCTGGTTGGTCGACCAGGCCTTCTGGTCGACCTGGTTGGTCGACCAGACCATCTAGTCGACTTGGTTGGTCGACCATGCCTTCTGGTCGACCTGGGTGGTCGACCAGACCTTCCGGTCGACTTGGGTGGTCGACCAGACCTTCTGGTCGACCTGGTTGGTCGACCAGACCTTCTGGTCGACCTAGTTTGTCGACCAGGCCTTCTGGTCGACCTGGTGGTCGACCAAACGTGGGTGGTCGACCAGGAGTGACGTCGACCTGGAGCTGGTCGACCAGGGGGTAGTGGTCGACCTAGGGAGGTTGACTGGAGGTGGCCGTCGACATGGGAGGTCGACAAGCACACACAGGAGCTACTGGTCGACCTGGTTGCCCGGTCGACCAGGTTACCTGGGTGACGAGGTGCTGCGAAGGCTTGCGATGGTCGCCCAGGTGGTTTTGGCGAGGACGACCTCGGTGATGGTATCCCGAGGTCGACGTGGCTGATCAGAAGCAGTCGTCAGCACGAAGTTGATGTGGTGTGTGCGCTGTGCAGGTGACGAGGCACTGCATGCCAATCATCTGCGAGCACCTGCGAAGTAGGTGCGCTGCTGTCCTGCGGGAGCAACGTTGGCGCGCCGTCAACCTGAGACGTTGGCACGCTGTCGACCTACAGTATTGGCAAGCCGCGACTCTGCACTGCTGGAGCGCGGTCGACCAAGTCGTGCTGGCACGCGGTCGACCGTGCTGCGCTGGCAGTCGTCCTGCTTGCATGCTAGCTCTGATGTAGTCCTACCTTGCCAACTTCATTGTATCATTGTTGTCAACCTTTCTTAGTAAAATGCTTGCCAAATTGCTCCGTAAACTAGCAAGCAGTGTGTACACTAGGACAACGAACGCAGAGATCACACGAGCACCCGTGCCTAGCCCGTAGTCTAGCTCCTGTTGTAGTAGTTATCTCCGCATGGTGCGGTGAGCGTGGACGGCACAACGACTTACCTTTCAGTCTAGTCGACTTAGTTGCACCTTACCTAAGTTGTTCGTAGGCCGGCAGCTGTGCGGTAGTCACCATGGTAGGCGCCGTAGGTGACACAGGGGTGGTGGACACCCTGGAGGCACGGCTGGAGAGCGCGAGGAGGAAGCACGAGGCCAACGAGTATGGCGACCTACCCTGGGCGGTCGTCGAGGCTGGACTCCGCACCATGTGGGCGACGGAGCACCCTCCTTCTCGGCCTGCATCTCCTCGACCGGTGAACACCGAGGGCGGCGTCGACGTGGGCGTCAACGCCGGTGGTGACCAAGTCGGCAGCAGTGCGGGAGGCACGTCGTCGAGGCAGCGTGGTGTGATTCACGCCGATGAAGTCGGCGTCGTTCAGGCGCGAGGGATGCGGTCGTCGGCGGCTGCAGGCTCCTCGCAGGGTGATGTCGGAGGTCGACGAAGTGGATCTTTGCCGATGTCGGCGACCCAGGTGACAGCAGGCGGGATTGCACCGAGCTACGGCTACTTCAAGTTTACGCCGGATAGGATCTTGGTCTCTCCCGTGCTGGTCGGTCGACCCGACATACTCACCTGGAAGGAAGCTATCGAGCCCCAGCTGGAGATGGCGGGGCTGATCAACTTTGCCCGTGGCACTGTGGCGACGCCGGATGACCCCGACTTGCATGTGGAGTTTCGCGCTGTGCAGCTGCTGACCTTCACGGTCATCTCGCGGTGCTGCTCGCCGGGCGTGCAAATCGCCCTGAAGTCGTGCAGGGAGCACATCGACGCCGGCCACCGGGCGTGGCACTTCATCGAGTCGACTTACCAAGTCACCGACGACTTGTTTATCGCCCAGCTTGAAGGGCAGCTGACGCACCTGCGTATGGGCGACCAGGAGACGGCGACAGACTACTGCAACCGAGCTCGGCGGATTCTTGCCACCATCAGGATGGCCGGCGCGGAGTACTCGACGGCGTCGTACGTCACCCATGTCATGCAGGGACTCCCAAGCAGCTACAACCTGCTGAAGCGGCTGTCGATGGCGCCGAGCACGCGGGCGACGCTCAACGAGGACACGTTGACCTCGTACATCTTGCAGGACGAGGCGATGCAGGAGGCTGAGCGGTCCCAAGAGCTCTTGGCGCAGGTGAACTACGTCGCCCCGGCGAAGCAAGGCGGTCGACCGGGGCAGCGTGGACAGTCTGGCGGCGGTGGTAGCAGTGGCTCGAAGTCGGCCAAGGAAGTCGACAAGAAGAAGTCGACCAAGGACAGTGGTCGAGGAGGAGGAAGTCGACGTCGGGAGTGCTGGCTGTGTGGCGACCCCGACCATCTCTCCTTCGAGTGCCCCGACCGCAGTGACTCCGACGACGACGACGCCAAGGGAGGCCGCGGGAGGTCTGGCAGTCGTCGTCCTCGTCGAGGAGGAAACCAGCCGCGCAAGGAGAAGCAGTCGACCAAGTCGTCGACATCGGCGAAGGACGCCGACTCTCCTGCTGGCGGAAAAGGGCGCGACGACAAGTCGGCGTCGTGCTCTCTGGTCGGCGTCGTGGAGCCGACCGTCTCGCTGGCGCCGGAGGCTGGCGAGGACTTCCAAGCGGTGGCGGCAGCTGTGCAGGCTAATCCAGCAGTGGTCTTGCTCGACAGCGGCTGCTCCCACCACCTGATGGGGACGAAGGACGCCTTCGTCGACTTGGGGCCGAGCGGCGACGTGAAGCACGTGCGTGGCTTCAATGGGGCGCTGCAAGACGTCAAGGGTCAGGGCACGGTTGCGCTGCAAGGGGAGGCCGGGAAGCGGGTGCTCATTCCCGACGTGCTGTACGTCCCGGGCGTGCACGCGAACCTGCTGTCGTCCGGACAGCTGAAGGAGAACGGCGTGAAGCTGCAGGACGACGGTGACGGGATGCTACTCGTCTCAGCAACGGGCGACGTTCTTGGTCGAGCAACGTACACCGGCCGTGTCCTCTGCACCGACCTGCGTCCCTGCTCAACGAGGTTGACATCGACCACTACCGAGGCCGTGGCCCTGCGGGCGATCGTCTCGGCGACGAAGTCGACATGGACAGGCTGCACGCGCGGCTGGCGCACGTCGGCATGGACACCATCTCGAAGTCGGCGAAGCATGAGGTCGCCACTGGGCTGGACCTCAAGTCGACGACCAAGGGCGCCGACTCACCGTGTGTCTCGTGCGTCGGTGGGAAGCTGGCGCGGCACACCTTCCCCGACCAAGGCTCCGACGCCGACGACGTGCTGGCTGTCGTGCACATCGACCTGTGCGGGCCATTCCGGGTGGCTGCCAAGGACGGCAGCCTGTACTTCTTGCTGCTGAAGGACCGTAAGTCCCGCTACGTGTGGGTGAAGCCGGTCGCCAAGAAGTCGGACGTGCTGCTGGAGTTCCAGAAGTGGCTGGTGCTGGTGGAGCGGCAGACGAAGAAGTCGGTGTTGCAGCTGCGCTCTGACCGAGGAGGGGAGTTCCTCGGCAAGGAGTTCACCGCCTTCGTGGATGGCAAGGGGATCGTCCACGACCTGACCTGCCCCTACACCCCGCAGCAGAACGGCATGGCGGAGCGGGAGATGCGAACGGTGGTGGAGTCGGTGCGGACGATGCTGCTGCACATGGGCGTGCAGCACCACTGGTGGCACCTCGCTCTGCGGTAGGCCGATTGGGTCCGCAACTGCCTGGAGCGGTCGGCGACGCCGGGGACGACGCCGTACCAGCTGCTGACCGGGACGAAGCCCGACCTGTCGCTGGCGCGCGTGTGGGGCTGCATGGCGCAATTCCTCGTCCCCGAGCAGCAGCGTGGCGGGAAACTTAAGCCGAAGGCCAAGTGGGGCCTTCACCTCGGCGTGTCGGAGGAGAGCAAAGGCTGGGAGCTCCTCGACATCGCCGACAACCGGGTGGTCACCACGTCGGACGTGGTGTTCTTGTCAAACATTGTATGTTTATATTGTGTAGGCTATAGTGGGTTTAGCCTTAGAGGGTACACAAACTTAGGGTTTCCTACTTGTACCCAACTTACTGCTAGTTCATCCATCCTCGTTCTACTCTATTCTAGATTCTAACATGGTATCAGAGGCCTAGGTTGCTACCTAGGACCGCTTTCTACAATGGGCCCACTATTCCGCTAGAAGCGCCCTCGTGCGCCCTACCCTACGTGCGCCCTCGTGCGCCTTTCTCTGCTAGTGCGCCTTCGTGCGCCCTCGTGCGCCCTCGTGCGCCCTCGTGCGCCCTCGTGCGCCCTCGTACGTCCTCGTGCGCCTTCGTGCGCCCTCGTACGCCCTCGAGCCGCCCTCGTGCGCCCTCGAGCCGCCCCTGCAGGTCCGTCAGGCCCCCGAGCCGCCTCTGCAGACCCGTCAGGCCCCCCCCGAGCCGCCTCTGCAGGCCCGTCACGCCCGAGAGCCGCCCCTGCAGACCCGTCAGGCCCGCGCGCAGCCTCTGCCCGACCGCGCGCCGCCTCTGCAGGCTCTCGCCGCCCACCGCGTCGCCCTGTCCGCGGCGTCGTCGTCGCCTGCCCGCGGCGTCGTCGCCTGCCCGCGACGCAGCCCCTGCCCGCGGCGTCGTCGCCTGCCCGCGACGCAGCCCCTGCCCGCGGCGTCGTCGCCTGCCAACGGCGTCGTCGCCTGCTCGCGGCGTCGTCGCCTGCCCGCGGCGTCGTCGCCTGCCCGCGACGTCGTCACCTGCCCGTGGCGTCGTCGCCTCCCCGCCACGTCGCCACCTGCCCGCCGCGTCGCCCTGCCCGCGGCGTCGCCACCTGCCCGTGGAGCCGCCCCTGGAGCCGCCCGCCACTGCAGCAGCAGCCCCTGGAGCCGCCCGCCACTGCAGCAGCAGCCCCTGGAGCCGCCCGCCACTGCAGCAGCAGCCCCTGGAGCCGCCCGCCACTACAGCAGCCGCCCCTGGAGCCGCCCGCCACTGCAGCAGCCGCCCCTGGAGCCGCCCGCCACTGCAGCAGCCGCCCCTGGAGCAGCCTGCACCTGCAGCAGCCGCCCCTGGAGCAGCCCGCACCTGCAGCAGCCGCCCCAGGCACCTGGAGCAGCTGCCGTCGCGGCCCGGCCTCGCCCTGCAGCAGCTGCCGCGGAGCTCCCTGCTGCGGCCCGGCCCCGCCCTGCAGTTGTAGCGGCCCCGCGGTCGCCACCGTCTTGCGCCTGCCGCGCCGACCACTGGTGAGCATTGCACTGCCAGCACTACTACTGCTGCTACTGCCTTTTCTACTCCCACTGCTACTGCTCCTACTGTTACTGCTGCTACTGCTGCTACTGCTGCTCCTGGCGAGGCCAGATGCAGCTCCAGGGCCGTGCGCGTGAGTCCCTCACGCCCCAGCAGCTTCGTGAGTGGTACGCTACTTGGGGCTGTCGGAGTGGCCGTAGTGGTAGTCGCTCTGGAGTGGGTCGGTCGGGAGCTTCTGGTAGTGGACAGGTGCAGCTGCAGTGTCCTCTTTCACCCCAGCAGCTTCGTGAGTGGTACGCTAGTTGGGGCTGTCGGGGTGGCCGTAGTGGTAGTCGCTCTGGAGTGGGTCGGTCGGGAGCTTCTGGTAGTGGACAGGTGCAGCTGCAGTGTCCTCTTTCACCCCAGCAGCTTCGTGAGTGGTACGCCAGTTGGGGCTGTCGGGGTGGCCGTAGTGGTAGTCGCTCTGGAGTGGGTCGGTCGGGAGCTTCTGGTGATGGACAGGTGCAGCTGCCGTGTCCTGTGAGTGAGGCTGCCGCTCTAGGTGCTAGTGCGGCTGCTACCCCAGGTACTGGTGAGGCTGCTGCTCTAGGTGCTAGTGAGTCTCCGCTCCCTGTTACTGAGTCGACTGAGGCACTGCACACCTTCACACTGGACTCCGGTGCTTCTCGCTGTTTCTTTCGTGACCGCACTGTCCTTGAGCCACTTGCTTGGCCAGTTGCTGTCTCCCTCGCTGACCCCTCTGGGGGCCCGGTCGTTGCGACCTCCTCCACTGTCCTTCCCTGTCCTGCGGTCCCGTCGGGCACACTGTCCGGTCTCCACCTCCCCTCGTTCTCTACGAACCTGGTGGCAGGGTGTGCGCTCCAGGACGCGGGTGTTCACCAGTTCACCCCTGCCTACAAGCGCGTGACACACTGCACGTGTGCTCGTACGGGCCGTCACTTGGCTACCTTCACTAGACAGCCGGGGTCGGACCTGTACACACTGACCACTGAGTCCCCTCAGGTCGCTGCGTCTGCGTCTGCGTCTGCGTCCGGTCAGCTGTCGGCCCCCTCTCTCGCGCACGAGACTGTCCTCTGGCACCACCGACTTGGCCACCCGTCTGTGCAGCGCCTTCGTGCCATGCACTCCCGGTACCTTGTCTCTGGTCTTCCCAGGGTTCTCCCTCCCCTCCCACCCTCGCCTGCTCCTCCCTGTCTTCCCTATGTCGAGGGGCGGCAGCGCGCCGCTCCTCACTCCTCCTCGTTTCCCCCGACGACTGCTCCCTTGCAGACACTCCACATGGACGTGTGGGGCCCAGCCCGCGTCCGTGGTCAGGGTCAGGAGAGGTACTTCCTGATTGTTGTTGACGACTACTCGCGCTACACCACGGTCTTCCCCTTGCGCACCAAGGGTGAGGTCCCTGATGTTTTGATCCCTTGGATCCGCAGAGCTCGTCTCCAGCTCAGCGAGCGTTTCCACTCGGACTTGTCCTGCGCTTGCACTCTGACAGAGGTGGTGAGTTCTCCTCCGACCTCTTGGCAGCCTACTGTGCTGAGCATGGCATTGAGCAGTCGTTCACGCTTCCGGCCTCTCCACAGCAGAATGGGGTTGCGGAGCGCCGCATTGGCCTAGTCATGGAGGTCGCCCGTACCTCCTTGATCCATGCGGCTGCCCCCCACTTTCTGTGGCCGTTTGCGGTCCAGTACGCTGCGCATCAGCTCAACCTCTGGCCCCGTGTCTCCATGCCGGAGACCTCGCCCACACTGCTGTGGACGGGGGAGGTTGGCGATGCGTCGCGTTTCCGGGTCTGGGGATCTCGAGCCTTTGTCCGCAATCCGTCCACGGACAAGCTCTCCTCCCGCGCTGTTCCCTGCGTCTTCCTTGGCTTTGTCCCTGACGCGTCTGGTTGGCAGTTTTACCACGCCACCTCGCGCCGGGTCCTGCCCTCTCAGGACGTCACTTTTGACGAGTCCGTCCCCTACTACCGCCTCTTCCCCTACCGCACTGCCCCGCTCCCCCCCCCGCCTCTCTTCCTCGCACCAGGTGCTGCTGTGGTAGACCCCCTCCCCCCTCAGGGTGCCGCTCCCTCAGGTGTGTCCCAGGTAGACCCGGTTGAGCCTGTTGAGGTAGCTGTTGACTCCCGCCCTGCTGCGGGTGCGGAGCCTGGGGGTGCTGAGCCTGGGGGTGCGGAGACTGGGGGTGCTGAGCTTGGGGGTGCTGAGCCTGGGAGTGCTGAGCCTGGGGGTGCTGAGCCTGGGGGTGCTGAGACGCGGAGTCCGGTGTCTGGGGGTTCTGAGTCTGGGGGTGCTGGGCCAGGGAGTCCTACACATGGGGGAGCTCTCTCCTCGGAGCAGCTGCGTGAGTGGTACTCGGAGTACTGGTGCTGGAGGTGCCTCAGGAGAGGTGCCTCTGGAGCCCGGAGTACTACTGGGACGGGTGCTGGTGCCTCCCCCCCTCCGCGGGAGCTGCCCTCTCTTGAGCGGATCCGTGAGTGGTACGAGCGGCGCTGCACTCTCCGGAGTGGCGCGCCTGGTGTCACGGACCCTGGTGCTGGAGTTGGAGCTGCTACTGGTGCTGCGGACCCTGGAGTTGGAGCTGCTGCTGGTGCTGCGGACCCTGGAGTTGGAGCTACTGCTGGTGCTGCGGACCCCGACGTTGGAGCTGCTGCTGGTGCTGCGGACCCTGGAGTTGGAGCTGCTGCTGGTGCTGCGGACCCTGGCGTTGGAGCTGCTGCTGGTGCTGCGGACCCGGGCGTTGGAGCTGCTGCTAGTGCTGCGGACCCTGGAGTTGGAGCTGCTGCTGGTGCTGCGGACCCTGACGTTGGAGCTGCTGCTGGTGCTGCGGACCCTGGAGTTGGAGCTGCTGCTAGTGCTGCGGACCCTGGAGTTGGAGCTGCTGCTGGTGCTGCGGACCCTGGAGTTGGAGCTGCTGCTGGTGCTGCGGACCCTGACGCTGGAGCTGCTGCTGGTGGCGCTGCGCGGCCCCGGCCGTACTTCGTTCCGCTCCTTCAGCAGGTTCTTGGTCAGCCTCCTCCTTCTTGTCCAGAGTGTCCTCCGCTCCCTCCTCAGAGTGTCCTCCGCCTGTCCAGTCGCAGTCCCCGTTACCGCCTGCCTTGCCGCTCCCTGGTCCTTCTCCTTACACTGGTCCCACAGGAGGTCTTACGGAGCATCGTGAGCCTGAGTCTCGTCCTGTGTCGCCTGCGTCTCGCTCTGCGTCACCTGTTCGTGCTGCTCGCACTGGTCGTCGTGTCCCGCGTGAGCGTCCTCCTCCTGTCCCTGGCACTCACTACATGACTCTGCGTCCCTCCACTGCTCCTCAGCGCGTCCCTCTACCGTCTCCTCCTGCGTCCTCTCTTCCTACCCTTCCTGACCCGGAGTCTGACTCCCTTCGTGCTGCTCGTCCTACTGTCACGCGTCTCCTCGCTACTGTTGTCACTGACCCTACCTTTGAGTCCTCTGCTGCGTCTGCTCTTGTCGCTGAGTTAGTTGACTTTGCTGCCGCTTGTCGTCTCGACTACGCCGCTAGCCTAGTTGCTGCGTCTGAGTCTGTCTGCCCTCCGTCCGTCGGGGGTGAGTGTGCTCTTGGCACGGACGTCCTTGAGGACAGGCAGGAGGAGTTCCAGTGCTTTGCTGCTGCTTTGCCTCATCTCGTGTCCATGCTAGTTGCCCCTGAGGGAGACCCGGATGCACCAGACATCCCGACCCCGCGCTCTTACGCAGAGGCGATAGCGGGTCCCTACTCCTCTCAGTGGCAGACAGCCATGAACGCAGAGATGGCTTCCTGGAAGTCCACAGGCACCTACGTCGACGCAGTTCCCCCACCAGGTTCTCCGCCTGTCTTCAAGGCGCGTTACGTTGCTCGAGGCTTCAGTCAGCGTGAGGGAGTTGACTTCTTCCAGACCTTCTCCCCCACCCCGAAGATGACCACTCTTCGGGTGCTGCTGCACATAGCCGCTCAGCGCGACTACGAGCTTCACTCTCTTGACTTCAGCACTGCTTTCTTGCAGGGTAGCCTGCACGAGGAGATCTGGCTGCGCCGCCCTCCTGGCTTCACTGGGTCGTTTCCTCCTGGTACCCAGTGGAGTCTCCGGCGGCCGGTCTACGGTCTCCGCCAGGCACCACGTGAGTGGCACGACACACTGAGGACGACACTTGCGGCACTTGGGTTCGCGCCTTCTACTGCTGACCTGTCGCTGTTTCTGCGCATAGACACTTTGCTGCCGCCGTTCTACATCCTCGTGTACGTCGACGACTTGGTCTTTGCCACTGCTGACACTGAGGCTCTCGCCCACGTGAAGTCGGAGCTGCAGAAGAGACACACGTGCACAGACCTGGGTGAACTGACAAGCTATCTTGGCTTGCGGATCACCCGGGACAGAGCACGGCGCACCATTACCTTGACTCAGTCACACATGGTGCAGCAGGTCCTTCAGCGCTTCGGCTTCACGTACTCCTCGCCTCAGTCCACTCCTCTGCCTACCGGTCACTCGCTCTCAGCTCTGCCTTCGGATGAGTCCGTAGAGCCGAGTGGCCCGTATCCAGAGCTTGTGGGCTGCCTCATGTACCTGATGACCTGCACTCGACCTGACCTTGCATACCCTCTTAGCATCCTTGCACGCTATGTCGCTCCTGGCCGTCACCGGAAGGAGCACATGGATGCCGCTAAGAGGGTGTTGCGCTACTTGTGCAGTACGTCGGGCATGGGGCTAGTGCTTGGAGGGCGAGACCGAGTTGTTCTCACTGGGCACTCAGACGCTTCTTGGGCAGACGACCAGGCCACTCAGCGGTCGTCACAGGGTTACACTTTCAGCCTTGGCTCTGGTTCAGTTTCTTGGCGTTCTACACGTTCTTCTTCAGTTCTCAGCTCCAGTTGTGAGGCTGAGATCTACGCCACAGCCATGGCAGCCCAGGAGTTACGCTGACTCACCTACCTGCTGACCGACTTGGGAGAGCGGCCTCGTTCTCCTCCAGTGCTGTACGTCGACAACAAGGCTGCCATTGCCTTGTGTGAGGAGCACAGACTGGAGCACAGGACGAAGCACATCGCTCTGCGGTACTTTCTGGCTTGAGAGCTGCAGCAGCGTGGTCAGCTTCGTCTGCGTTACGTGGCCACTCAGGCCAACACTGCTGACGTGTTCACCAAGGCGCTTCAGCCTTGTGACCATCAGCGCTTCTGTACTCTTCTAGGCCTTGTGCCTACTGGACCTCACTTGCTTACTTCTTGACTTTGCTTGTACTGTGATCTATATATATACCTGCATGCTTTCACTTGCTAGGTTGTGATCACTGTACCTCTTGCTATATTATCAAACTGCATGTGAACTGGTCTTGTGACCACTTGCTTGTGCTCAGAATTTGTGTGGTATCCCTTGAGATCCACCCTGAGCTTGTTTTGCCTTGCTTTGCTTTGACTGGTCTTGTGACCCTCTGGTTGTCTCCCACTTCGCCTATGGGGGTGTGTCAAACATTGTATGTTTATATTGTGTAGGCTATAGTGGGTTTAGCCTTAGAGGGTACACAAACTTAGGGTTTCCTACTTGTACCCAACTTCCTGCTAGTTCATCCATCCTCGTTCTACTCTAAGATTCTAACAGTTCTTACGAGACCATGTCGCTCGAGGTGTGGAAGTCGGAGCATGGGCCGGTGTCGGGGCGGACGCTGGTGGCCACGCCGACGGATACCTCGACGGCAACTCTCCCTCTGCTCGCCGAGGTCGGTGAGCCTGCTGAGGACGCCGAGGTCGTCCACCCTTCTTCCCCTTCCCCTGCCCCTCCCCTCGTCGCCGACCTGCGTGGGCGAATTCCGGCGTAGGCCTACGGCGATGAGGGGAGCAGTGGGACGTCGCCTGTGGCGCCGACCAAGGGCATCGTCGGCGGCCGACGGGACAAGCAGCAAGTCGACGAGCAGCAAGTCGACGAGCAGCAGGTCGACATGGGAGTGTCGTCGACCTGGATAGGGAAAGAGCAGGTCGAGGACGCGCAGCCGACAGGGGAGCAGGCAGCAACAAGGCCGACCAAGGAGCAGTCGGCGACCTGGCAGTCGGCAGGGGAGCTGACCGCAGGGGAGAAATCGGTTGGGACGCCGACCGAGGTGCAGCAGGACGACGAGGACGGCGGTGAAGATGAAGGGGAGCAGTTGGGTGACGAGGAGCACGCCGACGGTGACGCCGAGGAGGGTCAGCCTGGACCACGGCGCACAGGTCGACTTCGGAGGCCTCCCGACTTCTTCGTCCCTGCTGCCTTCACCACGGTGTATGATGTGGTCGACGAGGACGACGACTTGCTGTACGACGACGCCAAGGAGGATGAGGAGTTTCCGGAGCTCGACCCTCACATGCTGGCCGACCCCGAACACCGCTGGGACATCTCTACGATGACGGTGAAGGAGGCGTTGGCAAGCTGGAAGGGCCCGGCGGTGAAGGCCGCCATGGAGGAGGAGATCCGCAGCCTCATCAGCATGGGGACGTGGGAGCTGGTCGAACGCCCGCCGGGAGTGAACATCATGAAGAACCGGTGGGTGCTGACGACGAAGTACCACGTCGACGACACCGTCGAGCGCGAGAAGGCGAGGCTGGTCGTGAAGGGCTTCACCCTTCGACTACGACGAGACGTTTGCGCCGGTGGGCAGCTACGTCATGCTGAGGATCTTCCTCAGCATCGTCGCCGTCCTCAACCTCAACCTGATGCAGCTCGACATGAAGAACGCCTTCCTACAGAGCAAGCTCGACCGGGTGCGGGTGGCAGTCTGCTGCCCAACTGGCAGAGCTCTTTTCAGCACACTCCCCCTCATGACCTTGGCTTTTGCAGCAGGGTCAGGCAGAGATGGTGAGTCCTCACACACTGACTCATCCTCCAACCCCTCTTTTGAAGTAGGTTCAGCAACATGCTGATCATCACTGTCACTATGACCAATGGCCAGCTCTGACCCAGGGAGATTATTGAAGTAAAACATCAGAACCTCCTCTGCTGCGGACCGCAGTCTCCTGTAGATGCAAGCCAATCTAAACTTGCTGTTGCTGCCAGTCCTTGTAAAAAACGTCCTCGACAAACTTACGTCACAACTGACCAGAGAATTCTTGCTCTTAGGTTCCCACATCAGCCACCCCTTTTGAATTAGGGGCCATCCGAAGATGGACAACCCATACAGAAGCCACTTCAAGCTTGTGCTTCTGGTCTTTAGGCACCATCACGAGCCTCGTGCAACTCCACGTACGCAACATATCAATAGTTGGTTAATTGCCAAGCCAACGCTCATTCGGCACCCAATGCTTCTCGCGAACATGCGTCAAGACTCTGCTCTTATTTTTGTGGCGTTCTGCATCAAGCCATAACTTGTCGCAATGCTTATTTTTTACAATCGCCTAGTCCACCTTTTCCATACCCCTTGTCGCACTCCCCTCCTTGTGAGAAGTACAATGGCAAAATGAAACGGCAGGAAGGCATGTGATACAAACTCAAATCCCAAAAGGGGTTGTACTCCCTATTGTGCTACTCACTAAAGCCTAATATGCATGTACCATATATGTTTTGACACCCCTCTCCATCTTCACCACTTATTGTGACCTTCGCTATGACTATCTTTCTTGTACCCGTGTCTGCTAAAAGCTCCAATCAATTTTGCTCTAAATTAGTTGAAGTGAACAAGCATATCATCATCCTATAGTTGGGTGTTCGAGTTAAGACAGTGTCTTGTAAACGAAACTAGGGTTTAGGGGTAATCTAAACGATCCTTAGTGCATTAGGGGGGGTACACGCATACATCAATCAATTGCTACTTTTACCTATCCCCCCTCCGTAACGCCCTCCCCATTTGAACTAGCAAATGCTTGTCTCCTACACCCCCAAGTCTGGCACTCGCCAGGCATGCCTAGCCGTCTCCCTAGGCTCGATCATGCGGTCAGCCTCGGCCGCCGCTTCGCCGTAGTTGGGGGTCTTCTGATACAACACCTCCAGCCCGGCTGCCACGCCGACCTCCCTGACGCCCACCGCCTGCATCTCCTCCTCCCCCTCCTCCTCCTCCTCCTCCTCCTCCTCCTCCTCCTCCTCCTCCTCCTCCTCCTCCTCCTCCTCCTCCTCTTCCAGAGCCTGCCCAAGCAGGCACGTGTTGTCCCCCGTGGTCCCCCTGAGACATCGGTGGTGCTTCTCGCGTGAGGTGAGACATCATCAAGTGGTTCTCCGTCCCATCCAGCTTGCTTGAAATCCCACAGTGGCGGAATGCGTCAATGATGACCTTCGTGGGGACTTGATCCCACGCCTCTGCAATCCTTTGCATCACCATGGGGTGCGGAGGTCTCTCAGGTTCCTGCGGGTGGGTCAGATGCAGGGGCAGCGTGTCGTTAGATACATCAAGGGGTAACATGGGTGAAGTTTATACAGTAAGTCACCATGTTTCGCCTTCAGGTGAATGCCTTCGCGCATGAACCACCTGGCATAGCGTGCTTGCACCGCGGCCTTGAAGCACCAGTTCATAGAGACGTCCAGGGGTTGAACGTGGCTGGTGCAACCAACAGGGATTACAGAAGGGGTGATGATGTGCATGCAATAGCCTAGAAGCATGCCCTGGGTGATGTGGCCTTGGTATGAGTCCAACACCAGCATCGCACGCTTCGCGTTCTGGCCACGCTAGGGGTTGAGATGGGGCAGCACCTCCTTGGTTAGCCAGGTCTGCGCAACGGTCTTGTCCATCCACCCGTTATCCTCTGCTTGAACTACGACTCCTGCCAGGCACAGAGGGAGAGGGCAGCGTCAGCCAAGTAGGGCCAGCGCAACACTCTTGGGAACTTGGCTTCGTTTTTCTTATCTGCCGGAATGTCACATCTCGGCACGTTCTTCAGCTTGAACCAAACCCACGGGCGTAGCTTCTCCCCGAATGCCGTGCACGCGAGCATCACCATCAGCCGCGTCTTCTCATATCCTGCCGTCCAGATCGGGACCGAGAGCGTGCCACAATGGTCAAGCATCCTCTCTGCCGGCATCTCAACGAAGAGAGGCGTCTGGTCCACGTTGAGATGTTGTGACGCGCCATGTTGATTCTCACGAACTTCAAAAACGTCTTGCTAAATTAAGCGCACTCTACCAAGGAAAAAAACTGCAAAGGAGGGGATGGTTGAACATGTGAGGTCTTTAGAGTGCTATGCATATACAGTTGACAATCCAGTGCGAATTCAGTCAAAGAACTGCTCACCAGCCGACAACCGTTGGCCAACCTTGGTCTTCACACGGATGACCAAGTTCCAGCGGTTGTGGAAACGTTGGCTCCAGTGCGAGCTCGCGTTCCAATTCTTCCCGAGGTGGTGTTTCTTCATCCACTCGCGGCTCCACTTTTGAGTGTCTTTCACCGAAAACGCCACAAAATTCGCGCGCTGCAACCATATGTACCGATACAGCGCCGCCTCCATGTCGGCGTAGTGTGAGTGGCGGCCCGTCCCGTGCATACGCTTGCGGAAGTCTGCCGCTCACTTGTACATGCCTGCTGCAGCCTGCGCGCTCCGGCATTGAGGCGGTGGATTCAGTGGATGTCTTCTTGAGGGAGCCGAGCTCCTGGTAGCGGCGTGCCCACTTGAGCTTCTCGCTCATGATCCATGATAATGTGGTCCTTTTAGTACCGCGACTGAGTGGGGAAGGGGGACAGGAGTCAGCGTTATGAAGGATGGGGTCGTTAGGCTTAGCCTTCTCAAAGTATGAAGGAATGGGGCCTGCAGCATCTGCATAGTCATCGTCGCTGCTGAGCGCCTCGTTGACCACGATGTCGTTCTTGGTTTTCTCGGGCTTCTTCGTCTTCTTCGCACCCTGGCTGGAACCAGGGTCGCCATCGTTCTTCCGCTTCTTGTTGCTTGTGCGGCGGCTACCGACGACCTTAGCAGGGACCTTCACAACCTTAATGTTCCCCTTGTCTGAAGCACTGAGGCGTGGTCGACGCTCCTCCGCTGGGTTGTCGTTGTCCCAGAGCACAACCCCAATGCGTTCAGCGGAGACGCGCTCTTAAACAGAGGAACCTCGTCGTCGGTAATGCGCCACGGATCTTCGTCCCTTTCCTCACCTTCAAAGAAGACGGCATCCCTGCGAGCATCAACAACACCCACATCCGCATCCGCAATCGCGACAGCGACCGCACTCGCATCCGCATCTACATTCGCATCCGCCTCCGCATCCGCTTCCGCATCCGCTTCCGCCTCGTCATCCGCATCCGCATCGGCCATCGTTCCTGCAGGCACATCCTCCGCCGTCGACCCCCGAGGCACATCATCTGCCATCGCCGTCGTAGGGGCTTAAACTGTTGCATGCGCCACCGCATCAGCATCCTTACGATCAGCATCCGCATCCGCGCCTCCATCGTTGTCCGAGTCACCGGTGCGCCACTCTTCCACTTCGTCGAGGAGCCAATCGGCCGATCTCACCATTCGTCATCGTCACTGTCGCGAGTAGGAATATCCTCTCCCAATGCGCTATATTCGTGCCCGTTCTCCAGCCAATCCTCGTCGCCATCGCCATGGTCTTCGTCGCCTTCGTCCCCATCACTTCTTGCACCTGAGCCAGTGCTAGAGCATCCCGCCTTGGATGCTGACTTGCGTGCGTCTTGCTCCATAGCAACTTAGATGTCGTCACTCGGTGAGTTGATGCGCCCATAGTTGTTAACCTGCGCGGAGGGGAGAGGTGACGCCGCGCCTAGAGGGACTTTGCTTACTACGCATGGTTCAGCCAGCCGAGAGCAATAGTTGAGCTAATCTCAACCTCCAGGAGCACAAAATGAAGCTCCATCCAGCACGACTACCATCCCAGCCAGAGTGCCATGGATCTGAGGCATGTCTGAGGCGTCCCTAGGATCTGAGGCATGTTTGATGCATCAGAAGGGCCCCCCGGGAAAAATAAAAGTTTTGTCAAATGTTGACTGGCCCATCGGATTAATCCAAAAAAACAGGTCTGATCTTTAGCCAAACGGACAAAAATTGTCTGCAAGCGACGACCCTGGCCTGCAGCAAAATGACGCTAGCAACATCATTAGATGCTGCCAGCACATGCAGAAAAGCTGCATCCCTCACGTGGCAGGTGGTGGCCACGCATGCATCACCACCAAGGTCGGCCGAATTCAATGAATCTGGCCCTGAATGGTTTCTACACACTTTGTATATGCTACAGAGTTTATACGGATATTTTCCTTTTATAAGAGTTATAAGACACCCTAGTGACAGAATGTGATGTTTGTCTAGCCTGCAGTGGGGTACTCTATAGCGAGTATAGCCCAAATTAGGGTTTGCTATATGTACTCAACTGCCTGCTAGTGAAAACCCTCTTCTCTGTTTCTCGTTTTCCCCTACTGTTTTCGACAAGCTATCAGACCTGTTACGCTCCTGGCCTGTGGGCCCACCGTTAGCTTCCGCTGCTGTCCTGTCTGTCGCGCGCCCCGTGGCACGCGACATTTTTTTCTTCCCGCCACGCGCTCGGGGCGCATGGCGGTTTTCTGCTCGCCGCGCGCTCTGCCCGCCGTGCACCCCGAGGCACGAGGCGGTTTCCTGCCCCTGGGGACCTGCGCATCGCCCCCCGTCGCCCGTCGAAGCGCCCCTGGGCCCCGCGCGCGGCCCGTACAGCCCGCGCGCGGCCCGTACGGCCTGCGCCAGGCCCGCGCGCGGCCCGTACAGCCCGCGCGCGGCCCGTACGGCCTGCGCCAGGCCCATGCGCGGCCTGTACAGCCTGCGCCAGGCCCGCGCGCACCTGCCCTGCCGTGCGCGCACCCGCTCCTGCACCATGCTGCCTGTGTTAGGGTTTGGGGGTGGCGAGTATGGGGTTTACGGGTGTGTGCGCCGTCCCCTGCTCCTCCTCCTCCTCCGTCTCCCACTGCTGCAGCTGCCGCTGAGGGGGGTGGATGTGTTTGAGCCGTGTGGAGTGGTACGAGGGGGATGGCGTGTGAGCATTACTAGAGGTACAGCAAGGGGTGTGTGAAAGGGGTGTGGGAGGTTGACCGGAGGTAGCCGTTGTGACGTCAGCAGCGCCAGTAGTCCGGGGGTTGAGTACTCCGGTAGCCCAGCGAGCCTGCTGCGCCAGTCGCCCGTGGGTCCGTTGCTCCTGTAGCTTAGCGCGGAGCCAGTTACTCCTGTAGTCCGGAGGTTGAGTGCTCCGGTAGCCACCGTGCGCGCCGCTCCTGTTGCCCGTGTGACTGCGGCTTCACCCGTCGCCTTCTATCTCCACTCCTCTCACAGTCTCTCATCCTTCTCACCTGCCCTCTGTGACTGCCTCTAGCTTTGCTTGTATTTGTGAACCTGCTCTGTGACTGCTTGCTGTGCTGATTATACCCCACTTTGACTATGGGGGTGTGTCAGAATGTGATGTTTGTCTAGCGTGCAGGGGGGTACTCTATAGCGAGTATAGCCCAAATTAGGGTTTGCTATATGTACTCAACTGCCTACTAGTGAAAACCCTTTTATCTGTTTCTCGTTTTCGCCTACTGTTTTCGACACATCGACCGTCCCAAATACAAGACAACCCAAGCATTTCTTCTAGTGTATAAGATAAGACATACATTTCTTACATCCGTGCGATGAGATGCGTTGCTTACACAGGAGACAATGTTTGAATACCCGAGAATTAAGCAAGCTTGAAGCAAATTATTATCCAAGCAGAATTACGCTCCCCTAACAAGCACTCCTGCACGAAGCAGCTCCCGCCGAGCCCTTTGAGAAACCTTATTCGCTTCCACCTTCAAATATCGCAGCCTTGGCAAGTTCCCCAGCAACCTGCCAATAGCGTCTTCAGTGATTCTACCGCACCCCACCACACTCAACCGAGTTAACAGCACTAGTTTACTTCCTTCTATCACCGTGTCTGAGAAGCCATCACTACCTTCCACCCTTAGATCCTCCAGCATGCCGCATGCTCGCAGCAGCTCCACCAGCTGCCTCTCCTCCAGCCCACAGCAGTTCAAGAGGGCCAAGCTCTTGAGCCTTCTCAAGACAACAGCTCGTGCCAGCGACTGAAAGGATTGTGGCTTGCTGCTTAGTCTTGGGATAGTGGAGGAGGAGGACGACGATGAAGGGAGGGAAGGGAAGGGTGTGGCAGGGGGAGAGGGGCTCATGAGGGGAGAGGCGGCGGGGAGGGAGGGTAGCCCGGAAGGGTCACAAGTGGAGACGAAGCGAATGGTGTCAAGGGTTAGCGACTCCAGTGGAGGGCAGAACACTTCCACAGGCGTCACCGATGTGTTCATCTTTGAAGTTGTGCTCTTGTTTGGGTGTACGCTCCCCTGTGGAGCTGGGCGGGTTAGGCTTCTGCTGCCAAGCTGCTTGGCCCTTGGCAGCTGATCTGATGCTCCTGCTGCTCTCACGTCCTCTCCCACTGCCCCTCTTGCTTCTCCTTCTGCGCTTCTTGGCTCCTGCGTCACTGCCCCTACTGCCGCTGTCCCTTGTGCTGCTGTCCCTTCTGCCGCTACCCCTTCTGCTGCTGTCCGTTCTACTGCTGACCCTTCTGCTGCTGCCCCTTCTGCTGCTGCCTCTCCTGCTGCTGCTCTTTCTGCTGGTGCCCCATCTGCTGCTGCCCCTTCTTCTGCTGCCCCATCTGCAGCTGCCCCTTCTGCCGCTATCCCTTCTACTGCTGCTCCATCTGCTGCTGCCCAATCTGCTGCTGCCCCTTCTGCTGCTGCCCCATCTGCAGCTGCCCCTTCTGCCGCTGTCCCTTCTACTGCTGCTCCATTTGCTGCTGCCCCATTTGCTGCTGCCCCTTCTGTTGCTCCTTGTGCCGCCGGCACCACTGCCGCTGCCACAGCTCCTGCTGCTGCGGTGACCAACCCTCCTGCAGCTGCCCCAGGCACTACTGCCAGCGCTTGCAGTGCTGCCAGCGCTTGCAGTGCTGCGAGGTGGGGTGCGACAGGTGCTGCAGGGTCATTGATCTCAAAGCGAGCGCCCGTGTCCTCCATCTCCAGCAGCAGCAGCTCCATCAGCGCATGCAGCAGCTCCCGTGCGTCTGCCAGTGGCACCGCCACCCACGCCAGCAGCTTCTCACTCACGCCCGCCAGATCGTCTTCCAGGTCATCCTCGGGCATTTATCTCACCACCTCCTCCGCTTCAATCCCTATTCCTCCACCCCTCCCCTCCTCGTCATCCCTCTGTGGCTCCACCTCCACTTCCTCCTCCACAGCAGCAGTGAAGAAGCCTGCAGCCTTGGCAACACGATGGGCCTTCGCAAGTGCCTCTCTACATGCCCTCCAGCCTTTCATTTCGGTCTTAGCCAGCCGCACACAGCGGCAGAGCAGGATGGCGGAGCGCACCTGAATGACGGCCCGGTGGATGTAGTGGAGGGCGCCCGCCCCGTGGTGCAAGTGGCGGTGCTGCAGCGCCTCTACGGCGGCTTCCTTGAGCTTCCACTTGGAAATTTTGGTGAGGTCCATCCAGTTGTTCATTGCTGCCAAAAAGTCACCGCGTGATGATGCTTCTTCCTTGCGCATGTCCACGTACTGTCGTCTGCTGCTGCTGCTGCCCCTCATCACCCCCTCAGAGGCCACCACCGCCGTGGCAGCTTCTGCAGGCGATGCCGGCTCATTGTCCTCTGCTGCTTCTGCTTCTCCGATTGTCATTACCTCCAATTCGTCTGTTGCTTCTTCTGCTGCTGCTGCTGCTGCTGCTGGGGAAGCCACGGTGTTTCCTCCCCCTCCTTTCGCCATCGCCCCTTCCCATCTCTCCACGCCATCATCCATTCCCTGCTCTCCTTCAAGCATCCCCCGCTGCTCCACTCGCACCAGCATGGCCACAATGCAATCCAGAGATGGCTTCTGAGGCGACTCAGACGACATGATACTCCCGCTCTCTGCCTCCCGTCCTTTCAGCATTAGACACCGCAGACTGCTGCAGCGTGCAAGCATGCCCGGGCGGTACGAGGGCAGCCCGGAGAGTGTGAGGGTGTGCAGCCAGGAGGAGGAGGAGAGGAAGAGATCCCGAAGGCCGCGTGGGATGAAGAGGAAGTGGGAGGTGAAGTGCAGCAAGAGGGAGGCGAGCGCGGGGTTGCTTTCAGCGAGCGCTGCAAGGGAGTGGCTGGGAATCATGGGGCAGTCGTGGACGGCCAGATGGGTGAGCGTGTGCAGCGAGCGAGCGAGCGCGTTCAGGGCGCAGGGTGTGCTGTTGTATGCGAGTTCGATGGCGGTGAGGTGGAGATCCCAATTAATTTGGCGAGCGGTGACTTGTGCACGAAGGGCGTCTTCAAGCGTGCGGTTCGTCCATTCAGTTTGCCCGTCCGTTTCGGGGTGATACGCAGTAGAAAACTTCAGCCGGGTTCCGTGAAGCTTGAAGAGGCTTTGCCAAAAGTTACTCAAGAAGCGGGGGTCACGGTCCGAAATGATGGCGGATAAGAGACCATGTAGGTGGACTATGTGATTGAAGAATTGTCGGGCTGTTTCGGGTGCGGTGACAGTTGTGTGGGTAGG